AAGCTGGGGCTGCATGAATCCGCGGTAGTTAAGAACCTAGGTATTAGCCTAGGTGGCGACATAGTCGGGAGGACCATTTCAGATACACCAGGATCAATTGAGTGGGGGAAACAAGTGGCGAGATGTGAGATGCCAACGAAACCCTAGGTTCCTTACTCAGTATACGCATTCTCTCTAGGAGGACTGGAAACTAATGTCCATAAATTTCTTTACAGTACTACTCGATTTTTACAAAACCACTCGAGTAAATACTTCACATGTGCATGCCTGCATGGGAGAAGTACTTATGCTTCAATCATGACACAAATGTATTACATAAACTAATCATTTAGGCAAATGGACTACATGGGAAAGGTAAAAAAATGTGGAAAATCACAATGCACATATGCATGGGGCACTTGTGAACTGGGAAGTTCTGTGTTCCCCAATGTAAATTTGATACAATAATGCACTTTTAAAACAACATTAAAGGACTGCTCCATTCACACACCCATGCAAAATCAACAATTCTTGAATGTCAACTGAAAGTAAGGTAACTGGCGCCAACACTATGCCCGAAGCTGTCCCATACCTCCTGACCTGTCCCATTACCTGTTCCTGACGTGTCCAAACCTGTCCCACATGATCTATCACTAACTTGTCTCTGACTTGTGCCTGGCCAAATCTTTGCCTGTCTAGGGCCTGTCCCTGATCTGTCCCCGACCTGTCCCTGATCTGCCTTTATATGTCCCTGATATCTATCTGACCTGTCCCTGACCTGCCCTTATCTGTCCCTGATATCTATCTGACCTGTCCCTGATCTGTATCTGACCTATCCCAGACTTCTCCCTGGCCTAACCGTTCCCTGATCTATCCCAAACCTTTCCTAACCTGTCCCTCACCCGTCCCATATACATCTCTGACCATTCTGCAGCTTTGGCCTGTCCGTAGCCTATCTGTGCTGGTGGCGGTGTTGTTGGCGTGCTCGGGGGGGTCACGCTTGGCTGTCGGCGGTGGGCTTCAAGTGAACTTGAGTGGTTGTCTGCCTGTCAAATCATCAAAGCGCTCCTGGGTGAGGTCAGAGCAGAGCGACACTCCTCTCAGCCATGCAGTCTCAGGGAGAGGGGCCGGTGAGGAACAGGGAGAGGGTGAGTGGTGAGGTATGGGAAAGTGGGCACGAGGTGATGGTGCGGGCATGATTTCAAGGCCTCAGCTGCTATTGTGGTCACTCTGCTTACTGGTGATGCTTGGAAGCCCACCGAAACACGTGCGAGCATAGAGAGCGACAACCATGCTTTCACAATGAGGCACAGACAGTTGACAGGAGAGGTACAAGAAAGAAAGTGTATGCCTGCCAAATGAACACAGTGCTAAGGAGGTGCATACGAGTAACCAAGATGCACATGGTTAGCTATGCTTGATGGCTATTCGTTTGGGCAGTGATTTGACTAGGCATGGCACGGTTTTGGCTTGCATCAAGTGATTAGACTCCACGCACAAACGCTTTTCTCATCATAACATCCCATCACAGCCTCTCACACACTCAATGTTTTGCCTTGAGAGTGGTCTGGGCTATCCGTCTCACCTGCCAGCTGAAGGAGCTTCACATTTCTCACCGTCCCCATGTGACTCATTTCCTGCCTGTCCCTTCCCCTCCCTCCATCAACCGCTCTGGAACCACCCAAGCAGCTGATCTGAAAGCTCACCAACGCAGACCTCTATGCTGACTTGAAAACTGACCTGAGTAGTGACTGAAATCCTGACCTGAGTAGTGACCAGAATACGGATCTGAATACTTGACCTGAAGAGTGACTTCAGTATTGACTCGAACACTTGAATATTTACCTGAACTCTAACCAGATTCCGGACCTTATAAATGACCTGAATACTGACTTGAAATCTGGCCTGCACACTGACCTGGTAAAGACATGGCCTGATTTTGAATGGATTGGCAGAAACGGAAGATATACACAAATTAACAAGTCTTTGTTCAGATGGGAGCCAACCACTTTATGGAAAAACAGGTTGCTGCACTTCGAGAAAGCTCATCTCAGCACATGAAAATTGCAGAACTGGATGGGATGGAGGCAGTTGTAAAATGCGAGAAGCGATCATTAAGAAGGATCACATCTTGTCTCATTTGACAAAACAGTGACACTCCCCCTCCCCCCTTCCTCCCCCACTGCTGCATTACTGCTTCATTTGAAAAATTTTGCCAATCAAGCCCCCAGCTCCCTAGTGCCTTGTTTGAAATTATTTGCGTCCACTCAGGAAATTGTTTCCTCTCAGCCTTTCAGAGATCTGTACCTGAACACTGATTGGGTATTGATTGAATACCTGAATGCTGACCTGATACCTGAACATTGACCTGTCACCTGATACTTGATTGTTGACCTGACACCTGAATGCTGACCTGACACCTCAATGCTGACCTGAACAGCTCCAAACTTGAATGCAGAGAGGGAAGCACTGGAACCATGACCACCATTGACCGACAGGGAAACACGGACTAGAAATGATTTTGTAAGCAAAAGTGCAGTCTTTGAAAGCTGGAGGCGTCAATGAAATGGAAGCAGCTGATGAAATTTATTACCAGCACTTGAGCAAGTGAGCATGAGCAAGTGAGCATGAGCAAGTGAGCATGAGCAAGTGAGCATAAGCAAGTGAGCACGAGCAAGTGAGAATAAGCAAGTGAGCATAAGCAAGTGAGCATAAGCAAGTGAGCATAAGCAAGTGAGCATAAGCAAGTGAGCATAAGCAAGTGAGCATGAGCATTCTCCACACCCCTGCTGAACCATTTTCCCCTTCTTCACCCGTCCTCTGGTGAAAGGCACGCCACCAGCCGTCCCTCCCTCCCACGCACCCTCCCTCCCAGCATCATGGTGAGATGAAATGAGCACGAGCAACTGAACTCATCATGAGCTGATGTGAATGGCATGAGGCTCAGGAGCTAAGGAGCGGATGATGAGCCAATGAAGGAGATGTGACAAACAGGTTAAAGGACTGATAAGTTGAGAAGAAATGCAAGAGAATCTTGAAGCATCATAACATGATCTTATTAGAGCGTGGAACATCCTTTTGAACAAGGCGTTGGTCGCCCAACTGCGACAGCAGCCACTGTTGCGACCATCGCCACTGACCTACGAAACGGAGTGACGAAGACTGCAAGATGCTCGTTGGTCGCCCCACATTTTGGACCTTGCGGATAGGACAAGAAGTGGCGACGTCAGGAGAAACACGCGACAAGCAACCAGATGTTGCCGTGAGTGACGTGCTGCAATCCAATTTGCACTATGGTGTTTGACGAATTCAGCGCTATTCGTGTACCATCGCGACTCCATGTTTCTGGGCGACCAAGTGATTCCGATTTGCAATCTGGGGTTTTGCATGTTACCTGACGAAAGCCGTCGCAAACGATTGACGAGAGAAATGTTCGACCAAAGAGCTGACCAAACAGTTGTTCATGAAGATGTTCCACGCTCTTATGGACTGGCATGAAATCGTGAAAGCACCACGATCTGATGAAAACGGCATGCAATGTGGCATCATTTGGTCATAGAAAATCAGGCATGTAGAGAAACATACGGCAACAACAACTTTAACTGATGTGTGAAAAAATGGAATTTTCCTTGGTTCCTTACTGACGTGAAGTTCCAGAGAGGTGAGAGAACTTTAGAGGGGGAGATAAGAAGGGAGAGAGGGACAGTAGAATGTGTGAGGTCATGCTAAAATGGGTCTATAGCATGAATGAACCGCTGAGAGCATCAAGAGCTGATGTGAATGGCATGAGATAGTGCTAGAATGATGAGCTGATGATATCAGAATGAGACAGTAACAGAAATCCGGTAAAAGAATACGAGGGCATCGAGGGCTGTTAAGGAACGGTGAAAGAAATCAGGCAAAAAAAGGTGAAAGCATCAAGAGCTGATAAGGAATGGTGAACGCATCTGGAGCTGATAAGACTCTGATGACTCACTTAAAGCCTGGTGACATCATGAGGTGATGAAACTGGAATGAACTACTCACCAAGCAGCACATGATGGTAAGAAAAGGAAAAAAGCGAAACAGTGTCGGTTTATGCAGAAGTACTGTCCAAAGAAATGGAAGTGGGAAGGGAGGGAGGGATGAGATGGGATCACGTGGTGTGGTGGTGATACAGACAGACAAGAGATGTGAGGAAGAAGTGCGTTGAAATCATTTCAAGCAGGGGGTAAGAGGAGGGGATGCAGAGGGAAGGAAATGAAATAACACGGAGAGAATCAGACAGCTAGCGCCAGCAAACCATTCTCTATTCGGCCTCAGCCTTTCCAGCTTGCTCCACGCCTTGCCCACTCATTGCAGTCCCCTCTCCGCCTCAGTCAAACCGTTCCTCACAATGCATCACCCATTCATTCCCCCCCCCCCTGCCCCACTTAAACCCCTCACCACATTGACTAGCACATTCGTCTCCACCCATGGTTCCCCGTACCTTGCCTCACTCTTTCCACTCTCTTCCAAGCCCCACTCAAACGAATGCTCACCTTGCCTTACCCTTCCTTCAAAGTCCCACTTGGCCTTACTCCCTTCACACCACTAAATCCCATGGTCTTATTGCTTTCAGAGTTACGAGGCTAAGTACGATGGAAGCGATTTAGGAGAGACCATTTGGCTGAAAATGCCCTTTGGATGGTCTAGAAAGGTACAAGGGCAACTCAGGGTACCCTAAACCCTGAGGGTAAGATTAGAGCTGAAGAAGTGATTCTATCACAAAGCAGGTGATTAGTGGCGAAATGGTTTCAAAGCAGGTTGATAGCACACAGTTGATTATGATAGCAAACAGTGATTGTGAAGCACCCAAGCTATGATGTAATGCTCTTTTAGTCCAATGGTCTCTGTAAGCAACAACCCAGTCGAGAACGAACGATCATTATACCACCCTCCCCTTACATGATATGTTCCCATACATGTCAAACCAAACCCCCAAACATCACAGCAGCACCTGCAAACACAGCATACCATTCTTGGTTATCAAACCAACTGCCCTATTTGTGTCCGAGTTTACCAAAGAAGTCCTTCACAGCGTTCGCTGCCTTCTTGGTATCCTCCCAAGTTTGCTTGCTTCGTTGCTCCAGGATTTCCGCTTGCTTGTGTTTGTCTTTCGTAATTCTAGTCACCTCCTGCTTCGTATATTTCCCAAGCTCTACTGCCACCTCACCCATGGCTTTCACCGTCCGCGGACTGAACCCCCTCCGTCGGAGCATCCGTCGGATCCCCTCCACCGCCATGGGAGCAGTCGCTACCTCCGGGGAGGGCAGGTCGTCCGCCGCAAAGACGCCGTCCCGCGCAGGCAGCGACTCCTCGTCCTCCTCCGCCAGAGCGCGGCCCCTTATGATCGCATTTGCCTTCCCGCGCACGTCCCCCATTGCAGCGAGCAGGCCATCGTCATCGAGACGTGCGGCGAGCGTGGCGAGACTGGGTTTGAATTCCGCCGTCGCGGGGACCACATGCGCGGCAGCAATGAGCACAGAGAGCACCAGCAGAAAAACGCGACGCACGGCCATTGTTAGCAATCGTTTGACTGGACTGGCATGAAAGCAGACTGGATTGGCTTCCTAATGGATTTGTGCGGATCTAAATAGTGCCTTGAGGTGGTGAAAGGTCCTCCGAGCACGACCTATCACGATTATTTGTTGCTGGGGGCGATTTGCGCGACACGAAATCTGGCGAGGCAAACGGAAAATACTTCGAAGTGTTGCGCGCTACTCCCTCGTTTTTCGTGCCTTCTACGCTTGCTTGCGTCAGCCTACCGTTCGACGCCGTACTTCATTTGCACAGGAAAACATCGCCATTTGAAACTGATAGCTGGTTACCAACACGAAGTCAGCAAGTGCGAGGCATGAGGCATGCCGTCAAACGCGGTGGGCTGATATCCTCGCAATCATAGGATGTGCGAGTAAAGCTGTGCCTCCGTAAGTTGCGGAGATGTCAATAATCATCTAAGGGCGGGGTCAGCGTGTTCATTTTCGCCCCTTGTCCAAAATTCTGACACCTCTCGAATCAGGATATCTACTGCAGCAAACTGCACCCCATCCTGGCTGTGTCCACGGTGGGACATGCGTGACCAAAAGTAGGCCAGGTCCCGCCACACGTTCGGGGAGCCAAGCACCCCGTGAGGTAACCCTGTGCGGCCAAGCTATGATTGCGAGGATATCAGCCTACCAGAATTTGCACCGTGTTAGGGTGCCGTCAAACGCGGTGTGCCCTCGCACCCTGTGTTTGTTTCGCCTAGAATTTGCACGCGCTTCACGAAGTCCTGGTGGGATTTCGCTGGCCTGCGTACAGTAGCCCTGGAAAGTTGCGCGGGGTGTTCGCGGCCGTGAAATGTACATGTTGTTTTCGGTCGACGGCATGGAAAACTAGCACTGTTCATCCGCTGTATATTACGGAACGCGTCCACTCGTACCCTAAATCAGGGTTACAAACCGCTAAAACTGGTAGGGAAACGAACGCGCTGACCACACCCTAACAAAAATTTGGCACGTACACTCCAACTTTCCTTCACAAATAGGGAAATAAAGTTAATACAAATGGAAGCATAAGCAAGATATAAAGAGAAGCCTAGCTAGGCGGGAACCTTGGAAAATTATTTTGGGTGCAGGTTTGGGCAAACGAGAATCTGAAAGCTAGGAGAATATGGATTCGGTCCAGGATCTTGTCAAATACTTTTATATTGTAAAGAATTTTCGGATTCCTTACCGCATATCAACATCGCATACAAGACCAACAGTTTCTTCACCCGTTACTACGAACGGTGTTTCGCCGCCTTTACGCGTCACAATTCCCAAACCACGCATTGCTGGACTGGCCCGAGTCGGCCTACGCTTCTGTAGCGCGAAACTTGCTGCCAGCATCGCATTAGCTAGCTCGCACGCACTGCGCTACCGTTAGTCTGTGCCGCTATAAATGTTCGCTCATCCTCGCTTACTCGGTTCATTGCACCCGTGACACCTAGCGATCATGTTGGAATAACCGAAAAGTTTTTATAACATTCCCGAAGGTTCTCTCCTAGCGCGCCACTTCGTAACGAAACAGGGCAACTGTACCTGTACCGCAACAGCTCATATACAGCACGCGGCAGCTTAAGAGCCACCCGAAGGTCAACAGTCTCTGTTAGTAAACGGTCGCGACTGTTGACCAACCCGTAACCGCATCAGATGTTACACGATACAACATGGTAACTGTCGAGAAAAACAAGAGTCGTAGTTGTTGTGCAATACAATTAATAAGGGAATGTACATCTCAGAGAACATGGCTAAATCGGTTGCTATTTATACCCTTACACTTCAATCTATCAATCATCTTGTTTTCCTTAATTTATTATCAACAAGGCCAGTACAAATATTTCATTGTCTATCTTCAACTTCGCAACCTTATCCTACCGTAAACCCCCGGATACAAGACCTTCTCCAGTTGTAGATCCCCGGATCTATAATACCCAGAGGGGGGGAGATAACTCAAACAATGGGAGATAGATTGCGGGCTAGGCACGGTTGTGCGGGGTGATGGAAGCGTTCATTCACTAAGTCGTTTCCTTGTGTTCACTCTACATGCACATTCACGGGGAAAATTGACAAGAGTTCCACTAGCAAAGATTGGCAACAAAGGTTCAGAATGATAGCAACAACATTAGCAATGTTGACTATATGAAGGCTAGCAAGCATGCTGGTCGTCTGCCAGCGCAGCACGGTCGACCGCGTTCCAGCACGACATGGTCGACCGCGCTCCAGCAGTACAAAGTTGCGGCTTGCCAATGCTGCAAGTCGACGGCGTGCCAACTCTACAGCAAGGCGGCTGCATAGCGTTGCACACGCAAGACAACAGCGCATCCGCTTCGCAGGTGCACGCAGATGATTGACGTGCTGTGCCGTGTCACCCGCACAGCGCAGAGCACCAGGTCGTCCATGTGCTATCAACTGCACCTGATCAGCCACGTCGACCTCGGGATACCACCAGCGAGGTCGGGTTCGCCAGAACCACCTGGGCGACCGTCGCGCTCCTCCGCAGACTTCGTCGCCCTGGTTTCTTGGTCGACCTGGAAACCCTCCCAGGTTGGCGCCGACTTGACCACCAGGTCGGTGTCGACCAGCAGTTGTACGTGCTCGTCGACCACCCAAGTCGACGACCACCAGCCGACTTCACCAAGTCGGCTACTCCCCAGGTCGACCTCCCCAAGTCGGCGCCCTCAAGTCGGCGCCGACTTCCAGGTCGATCTCCTGAAGTCGGCGCCCTCCCAAGTCGGCGCCGACTTCCCTGTCGACCTCCTGAAGTCGGCGCCCTCCTACGTCGGCGCCGACTTCCCTGTCGACTTCCAGGTCGACGAGCCCCATCGTCGGCGGCATTGCAGTGGCCCCTTGCGGGCCGACCAAACCCGTCGACCAGCTCGCCCAAGTCGGCGTCGCCCACTGCTGCAAGTCGGCTGTACCTCCCGTACACCCAAATACGAAGTCGGCTCCGCCCAAGCGAGGACGGGGCCAATACACAACTCTCGTTGACACTTCCCTACCGTGTTCACGCTTGGTCCGCCATCCCACACGGCAGCACTACTCGGAGAATAGCTCGTCGTCGTCGGCGTGCACACAACACACAGCACACCGGTTACCGCACGAGCCATGCAAGAGGGATGGCACCTACTGTTGCACGTCATTGTCACCGTCGCCAACGTTGGCCAGGCGCACTTGGCCGATTGCGACGGAGCACCGGTTGAAGGCCGGAAAGTGCAGCGCCTTCGTCAGGAAGTCGACCGGCTGTTCGGTGGTCGAGATGTACTTCAGCGCAAACTTCCCGCGCTTCACCATGTGTTGCAGCCAGGCATATCGCCGCTCCATGTGCTTGAGGTTGCCCTACAACCCAAGGCCCTCGGCAACCGTGATGGCCGACTTGTTGTCCACCAGCAAGACGATCGGCTTCCCGGCGTCCAGCAGTTGGAACTCTGCAAGGAGGAAGCGAAGTCGGCGTCCCTCCTTGCCGGCTTCGGATGCCGCCAATTACTCCGATCCGGTCGATGACAGTGTCGCGCACTTGATGCGCTGGCTCGACCAGGAGACTGCGGCCCCTTCGAAGACGAACACGTAGCTGCCCGTGCTTTTCCGGTTCTACTTGTCGCCGGCGTCGTTGGCGTAGACGTAGCCGACCAACTCCAGCGTTTTTGGTTCACCGCCGAACTCCAGGGCGGTATCGCGAGTGTTGGTGAGGTAAGCAAGGCAGCGGTCGACCTCGCGCCAGTGCTGGTCGCTCCTCACCATGAGGTCGCTTCCCAACTTGCCGCAGGTGAAGGCGATGTCCGGCCTCGTCGTCGTCGCCGCGAACTGCAGCGAGCCGACCTTCTGCCGGTACTCCTCCTCCTGGCGCTCCTGTGCCTCCTCGTCATCGAACGTCAGCTCGGCGTAGGCGTCGACGGAGACCGGCGTCTTTGGGGTACGCCCGGTCAGCTCCTCGTCGATGAACCGCCTGCGCAGTTTGTCAACGTAGTTCTGCTGGTGCAGCCACAGCTTCCTCGCCGGCCTGTCGCGCACGATCTCCAGCCCGAGGTACTTGACGACCGGTGAGATCTCACGCAGCTCGAAGGCGGCCTCCAGCAGCTCCTTTAGCTCCTTCAGCATCGCGGCGCTGCTGCTGGCGGCGAGCAAGTCCTCGACGTAGACCACCACCCAACAGGCCACTCCGTCGTCATCGACCTTGAAGTACAGCGCCTCGTCGACCTGGCTCTTCTTCCAGCCGGCGCCGACCAGCATGTCGTTAAGCGCCTTGTACCACAGCAGCGGTGACTGCTTCAGCCCGTACAGGCTCTTCAACAGCTTGCACACCCGGCCGGTCCCGTCGTTGTAGTAGTCCGGCTGGTACATGTACAACACCCGGTCGAGCTTGCTCTGCAGGAAGGCGTTCTTCATGTCGAGCTGCATCAGGTTGAGGTCGAGGACGGCGACAATGCTGAGGAAGATCCTCAGCGTGACGTAGCTGCCCACCGGCGCGAACGTCTCGTCGTAGTCGGCGCCATACACCTGCGTGAAGCCCTTCACGACCAGCCTCGCCTTCTCCCGGGCGACCGTGTCGTCGACGTGGTACTTGGTCATCAGGACCCACCGGTTCTTCATGATGTTCACTCCGCGCAGGCGTTCGACCAGCTCCCAGGTGCCCATGCCGATGAGGCTGCGGATCTCCTTGTCCATGGCGGCCTTCACCGCCTTGCCCTTCCAGCTCGCCAACGCCTCCTTCACTGTCATCGTCGCGATGTCCCAGCGGTGCTCGGGGTCGGCATGCATGTCGGGGTCGAGCTCTGGCAGGTCGACATTGTCCTCGGCGTCATCGTACAACATGACGTCGTCGTCGTTGTCGTACAGCGTGGTGAGGGCGGCTGGTGGGAGGCACACGTGGTAGGTCAGCCGCTCAGGCGGCCCTCGAATTCGACCTGAACGCCGTAGTCCAGGCTGGTCGACCTGCACCTCCATTACGTCGCTGTCGGTGGACTGTAACGACGGCTCCCTTTCACGGCCACCGGATTCGT